GAGCCTAGACATTGGAATTCATGATGTCTCAAGTATGTTCAAAGAATCAACAAATGCCAGGTCTAAATAATTAAAAGAAAATAGAGAACAGGGTCTCAGAAAACACAATATCCACAAAGAAATAAAATGATAAAAAGAATTCAATATAAATTCTGGAGTTGAAAATTATAACACCTGAAATTAAAATTTAACCGGAGGAGCTCGGCAGTATAACTGAGCAAGCAGAAAAAAAATAAAAGAGCAAACTAGAAGATAGATAAACTAAGACTATCCAGTCTATAAAAGAAGGAACAAAAATTAAAGAGAGTCTTAGAGAGCTGTGGGAAACCATTACATATTCCAAGAGAGACAAAATTGGACTCCAAGAAAGAAAAGAGAGAAGAAAGACTGTACCCTCTTTTCTTTCTGTATGAAAACTGAGGAAATAGCAACCTAGATTTTTATAAATTTGATTTTAAAATTCTTATTAATCTTCATATCCAAGCTGCTCAACAGACTCCAAATTAGATAAAAACCAAAGAAATTCACAACTACACAAATTATAATCAAATTTTTGAAAGTTAAAGACAAAATTTTGAAAGTAGCAAGAGGTAAGAGACAAGTGACTCATCACCTACCAGGCTTCCTCAGTAAGATGGACAGCTGATTTCTCATGCGAAACCATGATGCCCAAAAGGCGGTTAGGTTACATAGTCTAAATCCTGAAAGAAAAAGTCTACCAATTAAAAATTTGTGTTTGCACAGAACTGTCCTTCAAAAACAGAGTAGAAATCAAGGCATTCCTAGATAAACAAAAACAGAATCCATCACCAGTAGACCTCCACAATAAATACTAATGGAGTCCTTCAGGCTAACATAAAGGGACACTAGACAGTAACTTCAATCCTTATGTAACTACATGGAGAATAGACAACAGAACACACAAGTGCATTACTTGTAATCCCAAAATCAGGAGATAAGAAATTCAGAGATGACTCTATAAAGTAAAAGGTATAACTCTGTGTTGATGTGCATATAATGCATGTAGGTATAACTTTTATGCCACAATATCGGCATAAAAGTGGGGAAAGGAAATGGAATTATATAGGAACAAAATTTTTCTATACTTTTAAATATATATTTTTGTATATTATTGAATACCAGTCAGTATTAAAACAGTTGGACCAATGACAAAAATAGGAGAGCTAAAACTATAAAACTCTTAGATGAAAATGTAAGGATAATCTAAATGACCTTGGATTGGACAGTAACATCAAAAAGAACCAAAATTAGAAGCAGCCAAAGAAAAATGTTGACATTGGGCTCATCAAAATTAAAACATTTTATGCAATTAAGGAGACTCATAAAACTGGAAAGAAAACTCACAAAGTGGAAGACAGCATTTGCATATTCTATGTCTGATAAGGATCAAGCAGTCATAAAAAACACAAATCAACAACAATAGACCTAATTTTTTTAAATGAGCAAAGTATTTGAATAAAATAGTTCTCCAAGGAAGATATACAGATAAACATGTGAAAAGATGCTGACTCTATTAGTTATTGGATAAATGCAAACCAGAAACCAATAACAGTCACACTCACTAGAGTGGACATAACAAAAAGAGGGACAATTGCAAGTATTGGTGAGGAGAAGGAGAAATCGAAACCTTTATACATTGCTGGTGTGAATGTAAAATTGTACAACCACTTGGGAGAACAGTTTGAAAATTTCTCAAGAGTTAAACATAATTACTGTATGTCTGAATAATGTCACTTCTACACACATACCCAAAGGAATTGAAAACATATTCCACATAAAAACCTGTACACCAATGTTGATAGCAGCATAATTGATAAGAGCCCAAAACTCAAAATGTCCATCAACTGTCAAATAGGTGAAATGTGTCATGCCATTACAAAGAAATATTATTCGTCCACAAGAAAGAAAGGTTGATATGTGTAGCAACTTGGATGAACTTTAGAAACATTATAAACAGTGAAAGAAGGTAGACATACGAAGCCACATGATGTATGATTGTACTTACATGAAATATCCAAATATAGAAGGAAATTCATGGAGACAGAAAATAGGTTAGTGGCTCCCAGGAGCTGAGTGGATGGGGGAGAGGGCAACATAGGGGAATGATGGCTATGGGTACGGGGTTTCTTTTGGGGGTGATGAAAGTGTTCTCAAATTAGACAAAGGTGATACTGTACAACCTTGTGGATAAACTAAAATCCACTGAATTTTGTACTTTAAAAGTATGAATTATTTGTCATATGAATTATGCCTCATTATCAAAAAGTAATTTGCACCACGGGAGTTTATCCCTGACCTGGTCCAAGAAAGGTGTTCACTAATGTATTCATGGAGATGGACTGATTATTCATGGTATAATCAAAACAGTGTAGAGATGGACAAATATGGTTCAAATAATTTGTAACTGAGGAATATGAATGATATGATCAGATGAAGATGGAAATTGAGTACCCTGGGTTCTGTTTAGCTAGCCACCATCAGGGCAGAGCAAACAGATCTCAGTTTTTATGCTAATTCTCATTCATTTAAAGTGCCTGCCTGGATCACTGTGTAACCATTCTGATGGTCAGTCTAGGCTTTACAGAGAAGCGGTAATGACTGCTCCGGGTTGTTGGTTGAGTGTGTAGCAGTTACTGCTTCTATAAGTCCTTCTGTGACTTGGGACAGAGATTTTCAAAATATTAAATAGAAAGATAGCTAGGTGTACCGAGTGATCTTTAAGCATCATTTAATTTTTAAAGCTTTGTGATTATCTGATGTAATGATCCAATTGCCACATCTTTCAAAATGTGATTTGTACAGTTTTTAAAAGGATTTAAAAAATAAGCAATGTTGGTAGCAGGCATGCACAGTCTGAAATATTTGAGCTGGAGGAGTATATAAATAGCTGTGGTCGATGATCTTGCCTTGTTCTTTTCTAAATGCAGTGCTTCTCTGTGCTAGCATTTAATTATGCTCTGTACTTGGATAAAAATGGGCATTAGGAAAGATTAGCTTTTATGATGGATATGTTGGGACCTAAATATGGCTTATATCTTTGCCGCTGCAATCGGAAAACCAACATCCCACAGATGAATGCTCATTTTTTGTGGAAGAGCATTGGGAATATTTGCTCTTGTATCATTTGAAGACAGATCCACACGCATTCAGTACAGACTTGAAGACATGACAGGATAGATGTTGCAGTCTTCTAAGAAGGCTCTATTTTCAGCCAAATTGTCCCCCAAAATCATTCCAGCTCACTTTGCCTTGCCACTCTCTTACTAGAGATTATAATCAAGTCCACTGCTTAAAATGACAAATGCTTAAAATGACAAATGCTTAAAATGACAAATTCAAGTTATCTTCTCCTCCAACTTAGAGGACAGATGATATTAAATTAATGTCACTCCCAACAGGGACTATACCATTTTCCTAGGTATAGATTTAAATATAAACCTTTCATTTGGGTTCAATTACAATGGCAATGATAACAGTAATAATGATTGTTGGAAGCCCTTTATAGGAGTTAATTCATTAAGTTTGTGACATTCCTGTGAGATAGAATTTTTATCACCCACAATTTATGGTGAGGCATAATCGAGACGTGGAGAGATTAAACAATTTTTTCCAAATTACATACATCCAAGAAGTAGGAAATCAAAAGCTCAAATAAAGACTATCTGCTGATGTGACCATCTTCCCAACCACAAGACTATAGTGACTCTTGGGTTGCATGTTGGCGAGGGGCTATTATCACAAGAATGACTCTAAAAATCCAGCCTGGTACCAAAACAAAAAAAAATGAAATTTTTCATAAACCATGGTAGCTTAATTACTGTTGACAATGAATTGAGATGAACCCCTCAGATTTCCCCGTGGAACACTATGACCCCAAGAGTGTCACATTGCTGTGGTTGGCAAGCCGTGGCCTTGAGCCTGGGCTCCTATCTGCCTGCTCTGGAAGTCTAACTACTTACCTAAGCTACCTCTCCACTCTACCTCTACAGTCCTTTGGGTCATGAACCCTCTGAGTTAACTAGAAGTAGACTTTCTTAGTAACATACCATGCTCTTGACTGTGACCTTTTGTTCCAGAGACTTTACCCCTTACCAGCTTTTTGCATTCATTATGAGATATACTGATCTGACTACCAGAGAATGCTCTCTATCCATTTGACACTAGTCCAGACATCATATCCAACAAACATAGCTAAAGTTACTTGTTGTTTTCTTGACCCAAAGCCCACCTTCATTTTAAAGACACCAGGTCACCCATGATTTTTATCAGCTTCTATTTCTGTGCCCTCAGTCATAGGGACACATGCATAATCCATCTGGGCCTGATAAAGTATCCTAGGGATGGGAATGTGATCTGGACCAGACCAGCTGTAATTCTTCCCTGAGATTTTTTAAATTGGAATTGTCTGGAGAGACCTACCTTCCTCCCCCGCACAACCCTTCTTTCTTTTTCCTGGCCACTCAGCTGCATATTCGCTACATATGCCTATACGTGGTATATTCAAACACACTGGAGTGGAAAAGCTACATTAAAAACGATGCTAACTTCCCGAGAAAAGCAAATTTGAAAATGAACTTGGAACCTAAGATAAAAAGCAAGAAAAAGGAGCCCAGTTATCATTTAAATGCCTGGTGTTAGCTGTTTCTAAGCCCAGGCCCTCTCTTCCCTTCTGGAAATTCTAGTATATTAAACAATGTATTCTCCTGTTTGATGCATAAACTGGCTGAATTTGAACAAAGAGATTTAATTAACAGAGACTGACACTAAAAAGTCTATTGACATACAGTTCTCATAGTGGAGCAAAAAGGTAGAAGAACAGGCCACACAGAAGCAGAGAGGAAGTAAAGTGGGCTGTTTATTAGCACAGAAGACAGGGAGTAGCTACCTTTAAATACCAAAAGGGTTAAGTATTAAATATCTAGGCATTATCATACATGTATCAAAAAATTCAGCGGATTAGAAGAATCAAGATGCGTTACCTTCTGCAGTTTCTATCAGGAATCTGGAAGCAGCGTGGTTGGGTGTTTCTGGCTCAGGGTCTCTCATGAAATCTCAGTCAAAATGTTGGCTGCTGCTGAAGTCGTCAGCAGGCTTGGCTGGCGGTGAAAGATCCACTTCCAACATGGCTGACTCATGTGGCCATTGGCAGGAGGACCCAGATCTTCATCACGTCCATCTCTCCATGAGGCTGCTCAAGTGTCCTCACGACATGGCAGCTGATTTTTCCCCAGAGTGTATAATCCAAGAGAAGTCTGGAACGACAAAGACTTTTGGGATTCATTCTTTGGAGTCACATTCTGTTGTAGCCAAAATATTCTATTGGATACATGATCAGCTTTACTCAGGGAGGGAGACTACTCAAGAGCATTGATAGCAGAATTCAGGGGTCATGAGGGGCCATCTGGAGACTGGCTACTATAGGCTATCATTTGGAAGAAATTTTGAGTATATTTTGAATAGATCCCAAAGAGAGGTTGAGCACAAGTGGAAGGTACCAATAGAGTATGGGTCCATATAAATGAAGTTAGTAATGTACAGAGGTGACCCTGAAGCCATAAAAACAACTTCTACATGTAATATATCTCCAAACATTGAAGGGACTAGCAGAAATCACCACTGTGAATGATACTAAAGAGGGTTGTAAAAGAGGGAGTCATAGTATAAATGACTTCTGGAATTTCTTTTATTCATAAAATTTTATAACCCAACAATACTTTAGTTGACAGATATGTCTTCCTTCATTTAACTTTTGAAACACCTTTTATCAGGTGTTATAAAACTCTGTCTTTATATGAACTTTTTTTCCCTCTCTTTACCAGATATATATTATGACCAAGACAATCCCTTAGTTTATGAGGGATAGCAGTTAGAACATAAGTGTTCCAGCTTCTTGCTTGTCTAGTAGAAAAACTCTGAGCAGTGAGGTCTCCAAGATGTCACCCTATTTGCCCACACTACTTTCCCTCCAGCTAACACATTGATTGGTGACTTTTTCTTCTTGCTTGTCACACTCTTTAAGTCCCTTCTAGTGACTTTTGGCATCCCCAGCAAATTAGGCAACTTGTGTCCAAATGCTTGTCTCAGCTCTCCTTTTGGGTAAACTCAATATACTCCTCTATTCTAAATTTTAGATAAAAACACACTCAATATGAAAACCTCTTCCTTTTGAGCAACATATTTTTCTTGTTTTCTCACACCCCAGTTATAGGCTGCCATTCAGACATAGCCAAAGAAATCATTCCACTGTTGTCAATGATTTGGAAGCAGCATGTTAGCACTGGCCTAGGAATCAGAAGACCTTCTATCTAGGACTTTTGTTTCTCTACCTGGCCCTGTGATTGTGTGGAGTCTCATGACCTCCGGGGGGTACCAGCATACTCAAATATAAATAAATATTGATTCAAATCAGTGGTTCTAAACATTGAGTACTTTGAAAACATTGATGAATGTTTTCACCTCTCTAGAGAAAAACTAATGCAATCAGTGTCTGCACATGAACATAAATGAGCTTGTGCATAATCTCTGGTCATTAATGAAACCACTGAGGTCTACCCATGGCCTCTTGGTAGAGCTCAATAGATCCCAGAATATCATCTCCTAGTCTTTCACTTCCCTGTAAATATCAACACTTTATGATTCAGTGAGTAATTGATTAAAAAAATAAAGATTTCTTCTAGACAAAATTTCTCCATAAAAAAACCTTCCGGCTAAAATTCAGCTGCTTTATTAACCTGATATTAGATACAACATTTAATCTATTGGAAATTCACACTTGTTCTACCAGATAGGATAACTTCCCTGGGTGGCAAATAAAATCTCCGGGAGTTGACCATGACCACTGAGAGAGAATACAAGCCACAGTATCTCTCAGGCCAAATTTCTGTCTACAGTTGGTATTTTTCTTAAGCTGATGAACTACTTACTTCCAGGAAAAAAAAAATATATATATATGTACATATTTGCCTAAAATAAACTTCTTCACCTTGCCAAACTGCTCAGAATGACAAGAAATTCAACCCAACTTCTCTGTGGACCACTTTGATAGAGTGTTGCACAAAAGAAAAGAATTTTAAATCAGGCCCTAGGATAGCATAGGAGGGAATGCTGTTTCAGAGATCCCATTTCAGGCACCACATGGCTCTCTGAGTCGCTCTTTCCACAAGCATCTTGTTGACCATTGCAAATGAGCACATCTGAGTTGCAGGATTTATCGTAATTGAGTCTCTGGAAGAAGTCATAACAAAATCCACCAGGCCAAAACAAAACAAAACAACAACAACAACAACAAAAACTACCAGACCACTTGAAATCTCAACTAAGAAAATAAAAGTCATTTTCTTTTTTTGTCTTAGAAATATTTTTTAAGTTGCTACTTCTCTGTGATGCCGCAGAAGAACTATTAATCCAGATTCATATAAAACTAACCTATAGAGTTGCAGAAGATGAAAACCTAATTGCAGATATTTAGGATGATATTTAATAGCAAGACTACCAGACCTGAATTCTTAGGCTTTATGTGGTTAGAAGGTTCCTCCACCTAAGCAGCATATGTAAATAAATATAATAATGATATAGTTTGAAAGAAAACAAAATCTACTTGCATCTATTCAAACACAGATATGGTAACAATTATTCCTAACCAGTCATTTTTATGGGTCTGACTTACATCTATTAGGGGTTGGGGATTTCAACCTGCAGTTTTGGCTTACATCTTCAAAGTAACCAAATACCAACTTGTTTGCCCAAACTTCTTCCATTGATGACAACAAACATTATATCAAAATAGAGTAGAGACATTAAGCACAGATTTAGCATCAAGTAAAGCTGAAATCAAGTGCGTTATCTTATATATGCCAGCTGCTTAATTTCTATCAGTCTCAGTTTTTTCATGTGGGAACAATTTTTACCTTAAATAATTGTGGAAGGATGCAATAAGATATAAGATATAAGCAAGTAATGTAAATAACCATTCTGCCTGGAGCACTGGAAGCATTCAAATAGCAAATGTCATTATCTTAATTTGAAACATGAAATAAATTTAATGTGTGCTTTCATACACATATACATAGATGATACATAGATAGATAGGTTTCTAAGAAGGAGATGGGAAGTATAGCAAAGTCCTCATTTCCAGCTTGGCAAAGTTCTGGCTTTGAATAGGTGATCTAGGGGCTCAGCTGCCCTAGACCAAGCATAAGCATGTTGTTTGTAGAGCAGGGACAAGCAGAAGACAAGAGCAGGTGTTGGCAGCCACTCTATTATAGCAAATACTCAGCAACAGAATGTAAGATGAGAGTAACTTAAAAGGAAACTTTGAACAATAAAGACAGAACAGAACAATAGTGGGCACAGGCAGTTATGGACTAGAGAACACTAAACATAGAGAAATTTAGGCTTAAGTGCACAATCAGTGAACACCACCCCCTAGGAGAATCCTGGATATGGGCTGGGAGTGGGAGAACCTAGCATGATGATGCACCATAATAATCTGTTTGCAGCTTTCACGAGAAGCTTCTCAGTTGAACCAAGTACACTTTTGTCTGTGAATCTATGTCCCTGCAGCCCTCCACCCAGAGTTTCTTGCTTCCCTGTCTCTACTCACATAGTGGTTTTGATCTCTCCATTTGCCACTCATCCCAGTGGACGAAAAGTTACATTTATTTAAAGAGTCAAAGCATCATAAGGTCCCAACATTTTCTCCTTTATGTTGTGAATGGCAGGATCAGTGACCAGCTTTGTTCTCCTCATCCCATTGGTGAGGTAAGGGGGCCCACCCTAGGGTTCTGGGGTTGGCCATGCCCATGACGCCTGGCACTGGTCAGATGGGACCCCAGCAACTTATTAGTTACATATGTTCTCAACCTGGGGAAGGACACTGCTTGCCTTACAGAGGTTGCACTTAGGAGTGTACTGAGCAAACCTGGACTGCAGGACTTGAGCTCTGTAAAATTAAGAGGTTAGGGTGGCTCCACGGGAGGCTGTGATTGGCTGGTTTGAATAAATCTGTGAGCTTGCTGCAAACTGAAGCTCACTGCTCAAGGATAAGCAGGGATGTTTCCTTGAGCTATCATTCAGGAGGGCTGTTTGCCCAGAGGGCTTATTCTGTGGGAGCTGAAAGAGGAGGAAACTTCCAGTTAGGCTTCTTAAGTCTTTCTGGTTTTATCAGGTGTCAAGACTGCACCTAATATTGAACCTGAACTTCTGCACTTACACCATGCTTGTTTCCCTTTGGATCTCCAAAAGCTGAAATACTGACTAGGACACAATACACAAACATAGTATATATCCAAGTGTCCCTTGAACCCTTGGTGATGATGATAATGATAGCAGCCATGATGTTCTATCATCGATCACCATCACCACCATTTGCAAAGAGAGTACTCACCATGCACAGCCCCTGTGCTCTCTACTCACCAGTCACTGTCCCATTTATTCCTTAGAGCCACTTTTCAATATAGGTATGGGCATGACTGATCTCATTTTATAGGAAATGAAACTTGAATCTGAGAGGATAAATGACTCACCATGTTATATCACTGTTAAGTGGTGGAACTGGGTTCTGAATCTGGGTCTTGACACTCCAATGCCCATATGGTTATATATATTTTTGCATCAAAATGATGATTATTTTAATGTAATGAGTAAACACTTTCTGGGCAAAATTTTATAATCATCTCCTGAACATTGCACAGAATCATGATTGAACCCAGGTTCTTGATGTAGAGCCCAGTGGCCTCTTCTGGCACAACAGTTGTTCTGCCAACACCTGAGGGCACTCAGGCATGGAGAGCTGCAGGTGAGATTGAATAGGGACACAGAATAGATTTGAAAGTGGGAGGGTCTTTTCATATCCAAACACCTGGGATGCAACTGATGGCACAGCATGGAGGGGAAGAAGAACATTTAAGCTGATTTTGGGAATCAAAGATTCACAATAATATCAACCACATGGTGGGTATCTAAGAGAAGAAAGGCCCTGGACAATACCGAGAATAAAACTTCAGAATGTTAAAGTAAAATAAAGCCTTAGATAACAAAAAGTTAAGAATGCAAATCTGGAGACTATTTTGGGGGAGCGGGGATCTAATGGTCAGTGACAAATGCTAGCTTGTGGAATCAGGTAACAGAAGGCAGAGGTGGTGAATAGGGGTTGCCAAAGAGCGGGGACAGCTCTAGGAGACCACTGTTTCATGAAAAGCCTCATCCCCAACACCTACCTCAGAATTTACTACGTTACCATTAGAGATGCAGAATCCTTCCTGGTGCCCCATGCATCCTGCTAAATCACATTATTTTGGAAGTAATGTGGGATGGGAATGCAGTTGCAAAAATCACTATTTTGTATGTCTTCCAAGTTGATTCTTTTGCACACTGAATTTTGAAGGTCATTGTCCTAGGCTATCCTGAAGGCAGAGAAGGGAGGTTGGCTGAACAGGTTCTTCTCTGGCTCTACCTACTCTCTTGAAAAAGCTGAATTGACTTACATGTCTCAATACTGTGCCATCAGTCACCAAGGTAGCTTGGCTGA